TGGGCTTGGGCAACGACGCCGTCGCCCCCTTATATCTTTTCCACGGCCCCCGGCAGGAGTGACGCAGGCCGGGCTGGGGGCGCTCGGTCAATTCCCCCCACAGGCTCATTAGGAGCCGCCTGCGATAATGAGGAGCCCGGGGTGGGGGCCTGGCCGCTTCCTCGGCGGCCACCATCTAATTGGGACCAGGAGCTGAGACCTGAGAAGAGGAAGGGGGAGAGCCAGAGACACAGAGGTGGGCACAGGGTGGGTGTGTCAGAGGGATAAAAATAGAGACTGCAGAAGGACCATAGGAGCAGAAATCAGAGACACAGAAAGAGCCAGGGAAAACAAGAGAGAGGAGGAGAAACAGACAAATGGGAGAAACTGTCACAGGAAGGAAGGACAAAGAGGGTGACCAAGCAAGGGAAGGAGAGGAAGAAAGGAGGCAGCAGAGGAAGAGAGGCACAGGCAGGAAAGGAGACAGAGCCAGGCCCCTGTGGAAGGTGGAGGGAAAATGCTCCCAGAGAGAAGGGAAGGAAAGATAGCAGTAGAGGGGCACAAGTTCAGAGACCCCCCAAGGGAGACAGCAGACAGGGAGCAGGCCCCACAGTAGGGGGAGGCCGAGGCTGGAAGTACCAAAGGGCTTCACGTGGGACATGAGCATCTGAATCCCAGTTCCCCAGAGAGGACATATACAGAGCTTGGATTCTAAGGTCTAGGATTGGATGGGACAGGGACCCTATTTCCTGACTTTGGGAAGGAATTGCTGGGGACCTGGATTCCTGAATCTGGGGAAGGAGGGAGCCGGAGGTCTGCATTCCAGGGTCTGATAGGAAGGAGATGGGGGCCCTGTCTCAGCAGGTTCAGGTAGGAAAGTACCAGGACCTAAATCCTTGGCTTTTGGGGGGTGGGCGAGGCAGAGGGCCAGACCCTTGGTTTCAAAGGGAAAGTAGTTTGGGTCACATCCTCTCCACATCACTCGGTCACTAACTCCCTTCTCCACGCTGTCCCTTTAAGAACCTAAGTGCTGTTGCTAGGTTCCCAGGATCCCTGGGGAGGGGGGTCAGGTGCGTCACTGTGCACCTCTGGGACCCTAGCTCCTGCTGCCCCACCCAGAGTCATTCTGCAGCACTGACAGGTCTTTGCATCTAGCTCTGCTCACCTGCTGTTATCTTGGACACCGTTGAGCAGGTAAGAGACCCCAAGTGACCCTGTCCATCCAGGCATCTGCTGCCTCCACCTGCACCTGACCACAGACCAATGCATCTCTGCTCAGACCAGCCCCTGAAGTGTGGAGATCCTAGCTCCATCCTTGATAAACAGGGAGACCCAAAGCTCCTGCCCCAAAGCTCCCCCTGACCCAGCTGAGGAGTCCAGTCCTCCAGAGCCTATTTCTGGAGGGCCCAGGACTCAGGGCTCCCAAACTCCTTCTAACTGGGCCCAAGAGTTCCAGACCCCTATGTCCTTTCTCCCCCTATTCTCTAGCCCTGCAAGTCTTACTCCCTCAAATGTCTAGCATTTAAACATTCAATCTTTTATTTCTTTATTTATTTTGATACCAGGGATTGAACCCAAGGATGCTTAACCACTGAGCCACATCCTCAGCCCATTTTTATTTTTTTATTTTGAGACAGTCTCACTAGGTTGCTTAGGGCCTCCCTAAATTACTGAGACTGGCTTTGAACCTGCAATCCTCCTGCCTCAGGCTCCCAAATCTCTGGGATTACAGGTGTGAGCCACCATTCCCGGCTTGAACTTCCAGTCTTCTAATCTCTGGAAAGAACCAGGGATTTAAACGTTAGCGCCCTCACCCTGCAGAATCCAGGATCCTGAACCCCCCTCTCTCAGATCCCAGATTCCAGCCCAAAAGCTGTTCCTTGGGTTCCAAGTAAACAATTGTTGAGTCTAGGAGCTCTGGAGGGTTTGTCCCCTGGGAGATCTCACACCCACCATAGTTAAAGTGCAGGATGTAATGGGGCTTAAAGAGGTGTCAGGTTTTTCCAATTTTCTGGGACCTCTTAGAGAAACAGGTAAGGAAATTAACCACCACCCCCAAGAAGCCCAGCGCCTCTGTCTTCCTTAGCGWCGGCGCTGACAGCCCTGCAGCCTTTGGGGAGCTGCAATGGGGTTCTGCTCCTTTCCCTGGCACCAAACAGGGCCCTAGAGGGACCTGGTCCACTTGGGAGCCAGTAGAGGTGGCCTCTGGGAGTGGGTGGGGCTTAGGAGGCTTCGACCTTAACCCCGTCCTTCCTGCTCCTCCAACAGCTACAGGCATCTCCCAGAGCTATGAAATCTTTCAACCCGATCCTCTTCCTCCTCGTCTTCCTCCTGGCCCAGCTGGGTTCCAAGGCCGCCCCCTCAGCCTCTCCACCTCTTGACTCTGACTTTAAGGGGATGGACCATCCCTCTGAGACCTCCCCTGGTGCTTCTGAAAATTCCACTAAAGATTGGCCTCACCCAGAATTCCCTGGGACTGTTCATCCCGAGCCCTCTGAGACCCCTAATACGGTTTCTCCTGAGACCTCCCCCTTCCACGTCACTGAGACTCTCACTCTTCACCTCCAAGAAACTTCATACTCCAAGTCCCCTGAGACCCCCAAGCCTGAACTAGACACAACCTCAGTGTCAGCTCCCCTGGATACCCCCAAAACTAACCCCTTCAAAGTGACAGAAACTGCTGAGACTCCCAAACCTGACCCGACTGGAAATCCACACCCAGGATCCCCTGAGGCCCCCAAACCTAATTTCTCAGAAACTTCACACCCAGAATTTCCTGAGATCGCAAACACTGACCCTATACAGACTACACACCAAGAATTCCCAGAGAATCCTCAACTTAACACCACTGAAGTCTCACATGCGAAAACCCCTGAGGCCCCAAATCCTGACGCCACCCAGGCCCTTGATCCCAAATCTCTAGAAAACCAGGACACCAATACCACTGAGATCCCAAAGTCTGAATTCCCTGAAACAAGCCACCCTGACCCTACTGAAAGCCCCCATCCAGAGTCCCTTGTGATCTATGCCAGCCCCACTGACATTCCTCAAACAGAGGCCCCCCCCACCCACTACCAAGATGCAACAGAGATCTCCGTGACCTCTGAGCCTGAAACCTCCACTAGTCTTCACCCAGAAACGCTTATGGCCCTTGACGATGAAGTCACTGCCTTAAATGGACTGCACCTGAACCCCCCAGCAGAGACCCATACAGCCCCACAGCCTGACCTCTCTAAACTGCCCACCTCAGATTCTCCAGGGACCAGTGAGCTGAAGGCCCCTCAGGACTCTGGCCCTAAAGGGCCGGACACTCCTCCTCCCTCAGCCCGGATCGCAGGTCCCCCACTTTCTCAAGAGCTCCCCAATCAGCAGGCCCCTGCAACACCCCGACCTCAGAGACGCAGCCGAGGTGACAGAGTCAACACTATCATTGTGGTGGAGCGAGTGAAAGAGACTGGTGAGGGGCTGGGCCTGGACCCCCGAGTCTGAGGGAGGAGGCTGGGCCTGGACCCTGGGTCTGAGGGAGGAAGCTGGGCCTGGACCCTGGGTCTGAGGGAGGAGGCTGGGCCTGGACCCTGGGTCTGGGGGAGGAGGCTGGGCCTGGACCCTGGGTCTGGGGGAGGAGGCTGGGCCTGGACCCTGGGTCTG